CGGAGAAACGGAGATACAGGGGTTTTTTGCCGCCAGTGAAACCACTGATGACTTGCTGAGATCCTGCAATGCTGCTTCTTCTCAGCACCGTTTACTTTTCATAATCGATCAGGTAAACGCGTTGGATCCTCAAGACGAGACAAGAAACAGATTTCCGAATGAAGTCAAGAGAGACGTGAGAACATTGTTAGATACTATCACCGCTGAACGCTTGAAATTGTCCAGCTCGACTGGAAACTATATGCATGCGTTATCGATACGCATAGGCAAACCAATGAGGTACACATACACCTATATGGCGGGTTGACCAAGGTAAGTTTCTCAAGTATCATCGACTCTCACTGTTTCTAACCGGTAGCAGAAAGAAATGAAGACGTGGTGGCAAGCTAATGAGGCCAACCTTCCTATTCGGTTCAAAGACGAAGACAAGGAAGAGATCGAGGACCTCACTGGGAAGATACCGCTTTTGTTGGATGCAGTGTTCTCAACGGGTCAGTTCGGTCAGATATGGGCTTCGACCGGGCCGGTCTATGCCAAGGGCGGTTTTGAAATTTATGATCTGGCCGGTCTATGAATCTATGGACCTTAATCTGGCCTGTCTGCAGATATATTGCTAACGGGAGTAAATACACAGATCATTATAAAGAAGAAACAGCACATTCCTGATCCCATGATCCTACCCTTTATTCACCGGCTTCTCCAGTAGGGCCTCAACCTGACGAACTTCCTCGATTTCCACCAAGCTTGCCCTTTCCCATGACTTCAAACTCTCTACCACTGCTATCAGATCATCACCCAGGTGGCTTTATATACAGAGAGAATCAGGGTAGCCACTGGCAATAACCTGAGTGGCGACAACCAAGTGTGTATGACAAATCATATGAGTCATATCTCGTGAAGAAGTGTAGTGGCAACTTCTAGAGACCTCTAGAACTCACAAGAGACTTCTACAGTTTACCAATAGCAACCAATTATCCTCAGACATTCGCAAATATCCATGGGTATCTGTAGTTATCCTCCGGCTCTATGGTTACGCTAGATATCACAGATAATTATGCCATAGCAGATATCTTCTGGCTCTGCAAATATGCACCAAGAAGCCGCCACCGGTCTATGCCAACGCCGGTGTCAGAAATTGACATCTTATCTGACCGGCCTACGTATCTGCAGATGACTGGCCGGTCGATCTGACCGTTTGCGAACACTGGTTGGATGTGTTACTCACTATCAAGCTCGAAAATTCCAATGAAGTAGAAGATGACGAAGCTGAATCTGAAGATGAACAAGACGCGGCGATTAAAAGGACCGCAGACGAACTATATGCCGATAAACTGGAGCATATTCTTGAAGAGTTTTGGCGGTCACGAGTGAGACGGATAGTAGCGACTATAATTGAGTTTGCGGAGGCACAGGGCAATATGCTTAAGGACTCTGATGATCTATTGACGTACACCTTTCTTGATACGGTTTCTTTGTGAGGGTTAATGGATGGCGACTAACTTTTGGCCTAGATTTCGGCAAACGATGTCAGCTTGTCTGACTGGAGGCTCTGTAGGCCCCGCTACAGAGAAGATACTTGATTGGAGATACTTTTATGTTTTGCACGGTAGTGGGAGAGCGACTTGTGGCATTGTACGTGAAGCTGCAGCCCGATTTCTGCGGTCTACCATGGGTGCAGACGAGTTTCTGACTCAGCACTGGCACGACAGCCTGCGGATGGCTGGAAAGAATCCCTCGGTGTTGGGATTTCTTACAGAACAGATGTTGCTAAGTTGGATCGCGCTTAGCGGCTGCCGCGCGGCGGGTGAAGAATTCACGAGCCACCTGACGTCCTTCCTTTTTGACAATAAGAGGCCAAAAATCAGTCAGGAGTCAGGCCTGAGTCTTGACATCCCCGTGTCGTTTAACTACCGTGCGGTAAATGCAATAATCGTAGCAGTAGATAAAGTCAAGAACGAGGCAATCGCCACCGGTATTCAGATAACGATATCGAAAACACACTCAGACTCGGAGCCAAAGTTCTTTGCCGACTGGAAGTGGTGGAGAATCATCGTTGGTTGTCCCAACATCAGTTTCAGGCTCCTCTGGATCTTAGAAGATGTAGGCCAGAAGGCGAGAAAAGAGAACATCACCGCCGGAAAGAGGTGCCTGCGTGGCAAGACGAAAGTATGGTGTCCGGAGTTTCAGCGAATGCGTGCCTCGGTCAAGGACATCACCATGGAAATTGGGACAAAGCTGGAAGTCGCATGGGCACTGAGGTAAGGGTAAAGCCCAGTTGGGACATTTTTTGTTTTTCTTCGTTTTTGCAGACATTGTTTCGTTGTTGCGTCTGGTCTGCCTGCCCACACCAGAGTGAGTAATTTGTTTCATACCTATTGCAGCAAAAAGGGGGCAAATTGATATCGATTTAAGGCGGTGTAGGGCAGTGTGTGATTGCGGTTAGGGGTGGAAGCTGTGGTTAGGGTTGAGACCGTGTTGATGGGGCACCCCTGGGAAGAGTATAAAAAGACGAGTTCTTTCCCCCCCTGGGCCGATTAACTTTGCGATGGGAGGATGTACATAAGACAGATGACAGGTAGTAAAAGACTAGTAGGTATATTAGGGGCATGAGGAATACGAGACTTGGGGAATAGTAAACATCTGGAGGTTACAGAAAGCTCCAAGTAAAGATCACACTGTATCAGCTTCCTTAGTTCGTTCCACCTGGCCCTGTCCATCTCGAGTAGCATAGAGAGGGCTTGTCTAGCTCGGAAAATATTGACACACATAGACGACAAATCGTCCATTATCCCCGCACTGCTGAATTCGCATACACAACTGATTAGCACGGGTGCTCCGCGGTAAAATGCCAACTAATCGCAGGGAACTTGGGCTTGTAGCTGTAACATGCCTATGTAGCTACTCGACCCCCAAGACATAGTGAAACACCCTCGCTAGCCCAATGGAGATACCCAACGCTATGTAGAGTATACATCGTTGCAGGCTAAATGATGCTACTCACGGATAATAACACATCCTCAGTAGTATAGTGGTTAGTATTTCCGCCTGTCATCTGATTGGTCGCGGGAGACCAGGGTTCAATTCCCTGCTGGGGAGGATTTTTTTATATTTCTCATACTCAAGAAAAGAGTATCCGGCGGGTACCAAATATCACGCGAATCCACAAAATGTTCTTGAAATGAAAAGTGGCTGAAAGAAGCTTCTGGTATATATAATACGTCAAGTCATTTTGCCTTTTCTCCTGTAGCTGCTAATATGGTGCGCGCAACCTCGAACCTGGGCATTAGACAATTCGGTGCACGGCATGTACACAGTCAGGAATGTGTCTATCCAAAGACATCTCATACTGCCAATTGTATTTGCTCTCACAGTAGTACTTCAAGTGCTGATTTGCGCACTGTATATTTCATTGTCAGAGCGTGTTCTATAATATTACAGAATAGCCAATGCAAACAACGGTATTCATGGTCAAAAAACCTTCATGATTACCCAGGTCCAATTGCAATTGCAAGGCCGCGCGCACCATACTAACAGCCGCTCCTAACCAAAAAACCGATAAAAATGATGCACTACTCTCTGGCAGGGAATTGAACCCTGGTCACCCGCGAAGCTGTATGACAAGCGGGTGTACTAACCACTAAACTACCAAACATTGCTTGTTAAATCGAGTGGACATCGTGCCTCACTTGGTACTTTTGCGGGCTGGTGGCGGCCGCAGGCGGCTATTCGTGACTTTCGCCAACAGAGGTCGAGATAAGCTTTATCGCATGAACTCGCGGCACGATCTGTGTACTAGGTAAGATACCATGATAAGCTTAACCTCTAACGTGTTAGCACGAATGCTCGGTTAATCTGGAATTAAGACACTGGATCTGCACAGTACTCTACTGATGGTTCGTAAACCAAACAATAAAAGAAAAAAATCCTTGGAAACATACCGAACAGGCTCGCCTGATCCCCGGGTCAGTTGTTGGAACCCGCATCGAATGAAACTCAGTAGCCTTCAACTCCCTCTTCGCTAAGTAAAAGAGGATCGAGAAACATTAGCCGATATAACTAGCCGTCTTTTGAGGTCGGTATTCAAGCGACGTGGCTGATGGCATTTAGTTCTCAAGCTTCTCGCTCTTATAATCCCGTCACAAAGGTATACAGTCTAGTACTACATACTCATTGGTCGTGAAATTTTTCTAGATCTTTATGTTATTTCTTCACAGCGGATGTCAATGTATTGCCCATTACAGGCCTGAATAAGTGCTCAAGGTTATTTCTTTATGCAGGGACGCGCGACGCCTTGCTAATCTTTGCGAGTCGTGTAAGAAACGTGAGCATGATACTTCCCTCTATGTTGAGTGAGGTGGTAAATCCATAGTATCGGCGGATCCCAGAAGTGGAGATTCTAATCCAAGACTCCCGGAAATTACCTCAGCCGTTCGTGCGGAGGCCGCATGTGCGTGTGTATCAAGGTCGCCCACTCGGTGAGGTATACTTAGCTATAGTTAGAATGGGTGGTAGGTATTCGGTCATATACTATCATTCACTCTCCGCTATACAGAATTTGTTGCAAATATGAAGGGAAGAACCGTGTGCATAGACTATAGTACAGAGTGTGTAGAGAGAAAAGGCGAAAGACTCGAAATATATAGTACCAGAGAGTGGTGACAGTTGCGCGGCCTTTTGCCACTTGCCACCGTATATGCAACAGAATTTGTGTGCAGCCGACTTCCGGGAGAATCACATGTCACCCATTCATTACACGGGCGGCCAAAAACTTCTGGCACCTACTTCGAGGAAAGTGCACACAAAACTCCCCCAGCCGCCTGAGTAACTATTTTACTAGTCGCGCAGACGCGTCGCTTCCGTCTTTTTTTCATCGTCGCAGGTAGCGATACCCAGCCAACCCCTTCAGCATACAAACAGCAGCTACACAACCGTAGTTTTCGAACAGATCAGGTTCGCCATAAGGTTTACCGCGCCAACCAGCACATTGAACAACATGATGACGTCGACTACTGGTGTGACCGACACCGAGCTTGCGTCCTTGCTGCGTTGGATACCACGCAGACCAGCCTCACAGCTTTGACCGAAGCCGCCCGAGCGCGTCGGTAACTCTGCGTTCCGAAACCAATTAGCAAGCCAAGTTGCTCTCAGAGATTGTGGCGCCAGACCAAAGCATGACCCTAGGAAATCTGCAGGCCGACCCGGGCTTGATGGAGACTAGACTAAGCCGGTGAACTTCATCCGCCTGTCATTCGATTCTGCACTTTTCCGCGCCTGCGATGTCTTCCGAAAACGAGCAATTGCAACAAGAGTCAAACGAAGCCGAGTCATCTCTTCCACCCCCGGCCGAGCTATTGAAAATAAACTGGGCTATATCTGACTAGTCTTGCAACGGACTCCTTTCACCCGACAGGCTTTTCTTGAGGAGGTTGACCTTGTTGGCTGCCAAAACAAACTATGAGACTACTCGAGGTATCCACGCCCCATTTGCTCTAAGGACGAGGACCACCATTTGCCCCGCGGCAGTGTTCCGAAGCGGCCGGTCCGGCCAGATCTGACCCGACCGATGTCGGCCTGGGCTTGGATTCTGCACCTAAATATTCGCAGGCCAGGTGGATTATTGCAGCCCGGCATCTCCTGAATCGACCTAGACCGGCCTATACTTCGGGCGGTTTCTAATGTGGTGGTCTCAAAAACCGAGGCCATCTCAGCTTCAGCAGTATTATCAACAGTAACAGCTGTTGGATCGAATGCCACGTGCAGTACCAACTGGCAACGATATGGTACTTGTGGAACAACAGCCAACTCATCCACCCACTGGCAGGGTATTTCGGAATGTCAACCCAAGCACGACTGAGGAACCGGTGGAGAGCCGATCCCAAAGGGGCCCAAACGGCTTCTAAATCTTGATCCGTCACCGCGCCAATATCTCGACGAATTCGTAAGCCTTTCGCTAGGTTATTTAGTTTGATATGATCCAATATATTTTCTAGTTTTCAACCCAGAACAAACGGATATGAGTCCGCTAGTGCGAAAATCTTAGCAATATAACTGTTGCGTTGGGAGCCTTCGATACCGGACTTGGGAGACACTTACGGAGGCGAAGACTTGAGGAAGGAATCGGATTGAGTGACGAAGCAAGGATTCGAGGAAGCTACCAGTTTCCCGGCGAGATGTTTAGCGGCGAATAAATGATAGGGATGGCAGTTGCGGGAGGAAACATGAGGGCGTTGGCTATCTTACTGGCATTGGGTACTGACGTAAGGGAGTCGGATATAGATTTGGCCTACGGACTTTTGTGGCTATGGACGTCTGCAGATCTGCTTGCTCTTCATCTATTACTCGAGTAGTGAATGTGGTCCCACGCTTGAGACAGCATTTGGCGAGCTTGGGTCCTCGTTTGACTGCGAGGGTTTAATGGCCGTTTTTAAAGGTTGTCGGGGTTTGTTTGCGTATAGTGGAGCGGCCACGCTGGCTGGGACCCGTTGTTGGGCTACGCGTAGTCTTGTGTTTTTATCAAATTGATTTGGCGACGATTTGACAAATTATAATTTCTAATCGTTCATCCCTTCTCCAGAAGAGGTCCCTGTGATATTCGTATTTACAAATTCGAGTGACGCCTCGAGAAGGGGATGCGACATCACCGTCTGTACCAACACCAGTACTCCACGACGAACCACAACACCTCAACAAGCAATCGCATCCGCCCTATCTACCAGATCTCGCACAAAACCATTATACGTCCCGCGCCTGATGATGACACCACCGCACTCCCCATCACGTGCCTGGATGATTTGGATATGCCATTGATTCTACCAGTTATCGCCAGCACAACCCGAAAAAAAAAATCCTGATTGATTTTGAGTAGTATTTATGGACTTAACAAGTGGATAGTTGATCTGGATCATATCACATCGCATATAGGTATTTACCGCCACGTTATGATCCCAAGATTTTCATTGCGGTTTCGGCCCTTCGGAACCAGAAACCACCACGCCCGGGTGAATCACAAACGAAGATTGACGCCTAGCATCATATCACAAAAGGTTTAAGATAAGGTCCAGATGAGCTACAGTAAACCCAGAGCCCCTTCTACTGGATATCTTGCAGTACTGGATTTTACCTACAAGGCATCTGTTTGTCTACAGGATAAAAGTCCGAAGTTTGTAAGCGCTGGGCTGATGACGATTGACTGTGCAAGACTAGATCAAATACTGATTTTCTGCCGATAGACCAATCAGTCCCAATTGTCGGAGTGGGCCCGTTTGTTTGTTTTTGGCGCGTATCCCGATTAATGATGCATGCAGCGGCTGGGAATAGCTACCAATCACCTTGATGGTGTCGTTGAAAGCTTTTTTTGCTTACTTCAATATAGCGTGTAACTACCATGGTTAAGGGCACGGGGTACTTCTGATCCGGCCCCAGCCACGACATCACACGGTTTAATATTTGTAGCTCACGTTTATATTATGATAAACATAGGTGTATGAACGTCCTGTGAGAACGTGAGAGATTAGAGGAATTCACATCTGCAAACACCTACCGCTTCAACTCTGAGGTGTTTGCGACATTCACCACCATGCGGGGTTAACGTTGAAGACGAGGCCAATCGGGAGCGGGGGCACAGAAATCATATTAAACAAATGTCGTAAATTGTTCTATGGAAACTATCTAGAAGCACAACTCATGACTCATCACTCAATAACACATAATTAATAGACGATCGTTGGAGCCTCCCACATATGATATCTTATTAAAATGTCTCATGTCACATGCATCTTATAGTTTTTGGAATGTTGTGGGGGTTTACAGATGTCAAGCTAGGTTCATTTCAGCCCTACATGCAGAGCCCCTGGATCGCATACCAACAACTCTGTTGGTACACACTAATCGTACCTTAACTTTACTGCTACTCGAGAACCTTATAATCCCCGACTCTTCCACGGTTCTCCTGAGGATTCATCTCGACCGACATATGTGCGAAGCGTCACCTCCGTCAGCTGCCAGACACTTTCCATTTACGATGGATATTAGCTGGATTTCGCGGTGGGTGGTCGTCGCCACGAGCGAGGCTGTTAACGAGCTGAAGGACGCCAACTCTCGCGTTTTATCGATGCAGGCAGCTGCCAACGAACGTAACTCCATCAGCTACACACTAAGCAGCACAATCCACTCGAATCCATACCACGTTGATATCCTCACTCACCAAAAATTTCACCTAGCGGCTATCGAAGGTGCTACCGGACGTGGTTGATGAGTTACGATGGACGTTCGAAGAGAATGTGCCCAGGGGCATTGGGAATGAATGGGCACCCATCAATACTCACGCCCTCATGCTCAAGTGTATCTCATCTACTACAAACCGCATACTAGTTGGGCTTCCACTCTCCCGAGATCTGGAATATCTCGATTGTCTGGTTGAGCTCTCGAAGATGGTGTCGCGTGCGGGCCATGTCATTGACCTTGCGCCACGGGTTCTTAAATCTTTCCTCGACTGGTGTATGATCCCCCGAGAGGTGCGTTTAAAGTATTTCAAGACAAACTCGGGCCCGTCTTTACAGAGTGGAGGAAAAAGATTTCAGAGCTTGAAGATGGCTGGACGGACAGACCGGTATGTATAGGAGATTGTCGTTTGCCTTCATTCTAATCGAGTAC